ATATATATATATATATATATATATATATATATATATATACATATATAAATAAAATATTGGTGAGTTATTTTTGATGGACTGGCCAATATATCCAAGTGATAAAGTTAAATAACTTTATCGCCAATACCATGACGATAATATCGTGCATCCAAACTAAAAGAAAATTTACAGAAAACTATAGCTTTGGTATCAGCTTGTATTGTTTTTATATATAAATGCCTTATTGTGATTTAAACTATATAAAATATCATTTAATAATATGGAAAACATTTAAATGTTTTCTTATGATTGACTTATGATTAAATAAAACATTATGATCATATGCGAACAGTTGTTTTATGACTACAACCAAAGAGGAAGAGCTGGTCTGCCAACCACACCTAAAAAAGTGTCGTGTTTAAAAGCGTGTTAGAATGAGGGAAACGTAACAGCCTGCTTACGCAACCGTGCTGTCCTGATGAAGCTTTAAAAACAACTTGAATGGGGTCATTTACTCATCATACAGGCAAGATTATGAGACCAATCTGATTCCTGCTGTGTAAATTATTATTCTTTTAATCTAACGATACGTTAAAAAGTGCCAATTCATTTAGTTTGATAAAAAAAAAAAAAGAAATCTGTAACTCAATTTTGGCTCTGGATGGTTTAAGAAAACCCTACAGTAAACAGAAACGGCTTGTTCCGGTTATGTGTCATTAACCCGGTTCATTATTTCTGTTTTATACATATGTGCATGGCTGAAAAACGATCCTTGGAACAAATGGAGGAGTGTAGCCTGATAAACTTGGGTATTGTAGTCGTTTGGCCGACTGCAGACATATGATACGACTTAACAGTCTCAAGACAAGCGTGCCTGTTTGGAGTCAAAGACAGGGCAACGTGAAATCACCTGCGACTGTACCATGAAAATAAAGATTTAGAAGAGCATTTCTTTTTACTTTACAGCTCCATTATAACACCAATAATTTAAACTACTAGTCTAATTGATAATTAATGGCCCAATAGGAACCAAAAAAATATTTTATTGCCTTTTTTTTATTTCTAAAGGAAAAGCATCGTTTTGTCCAACTTTAGTAATTGCAACAATAATATAAGTGAGAAATGGTTTTATTAATAGTAAAATATTAAGATTTTTAGTTTTTATATTCACTCAAAACTGAACAGCAAATAAACAAAATGCTTGAAAGTTTTGATGCAATTTAACTTATTTATTAAGTTACTAAAAATAAAAACAAGGGCGATCATTTTTTTCTGAATAGCAACAATTCAAGTAAATAGCCAATTAATAAGGAGACACATACACAAACCACCGAGGTTGAATGATAAAATGTCATTAAATTAATTGGACTACAAAAACATTAAACCTCCATGAAGCTGGGATATTCTTCTGATGGTTAAACTGAAACTAAACTGTCCAAGAAAATTCCCCAAGCTCCTTCTGTCAGCTGTGTGTTTGAACAGAAACGAAAACCAAAAATAAAAATGAGCTGATGTCTGCCAGCTAACTTTAAATGTGAGGCTTTATTAAGTTTAAATGGTGATGCTGTTGTTCCTGTGTTTAAAAAAAACGTGAAAGTGTCCGATGTTTTTAGATTTAGAGTTTTAACATGACTACCTAAGACACCCTTGGCCTAACAAATCTGGTCGTCTCCTGCTTTTAAAGTGAACAATCAACAAAATACATCTGACACCGTCTCTTTAGAGTTCACAACAAATGTTGCTAACTGCTAACAGTAACAGGCTAGCAGAGGTTAGCTGTAGCAAGCAGCCGAAACTAGCCGCTGTTTCGTCGACAAAATATTGATGTCAGCGGCACGTACGGTACAATACGTAAAACAAGACGGACAAAAACTATCCGACTTACCGGGAGTTTGGGGTTAACTTCTCCCTTACAACAGTGACAGAAAAACCGATGTGGGGGGACAGCCGAAGCCTCCGCCATCTTCCCCAGAGCAGAAGCAAGCAGCACAAACAGTGACGTCGCTCCTGTAGGAACAAGAGACACCCTGTGTGGCAATCCGGTTTATCATATAAGAGTGAAATTAAGAGGCTTTTCAAAACTGACGTCCATAATTTTATGGACTTCAACGCTTCAGGTATTTCAAGCAAGGATATTAATTCCAGAAATATGTTAAATTACCAATTACAAGAATTCAATTTATATATATATATATATATATATATATTTTTTTTCATTTACCCTTTATTTATACAGGTAGTCTCATTGAGCCACAAGAACTCATTTTCAAGAGAGACCTGTTTAGGGAGCAGATGAGGGTTTAAGGGCCTTGCTCATGGGCCCAGGGTGGGGCAAATGAGGATGGGGGCAAGTGTGGGTGCTTCACCTACCCCACCCACAATTTTGATGTTGTCGGGGCCTGAACCGGCGATCTTCGGATCACAGACCCACCTCTCTAGCCTCTGCGCCACCACTACATTGGGGCATTTGGTGTATTGTTTTTGTACTATTAGTGCTTGGTGTGTTCTTAGTTTAGCATATTTCTTAGTTCATCTCTTAGATCTTACTGCTGTTGTTCTTTACAATTTATACTTTTGTTGGATGCAACTGGGACCCTGTGTACACAATTTCATTCCACCACAAGTACTACATGACAAATAAAGAAACCTTAACCTTGGCCTTGAATATAGTTGAGGTTATTTGGAGCTGAAAGCACAAAACACATGGATGAAGAAAGAAAATTAATTTGGCTCAGGAGGTATTACTTTAAGCTACATCTAAAACAATACTTGCCACAGAGCATAATTTATTTATGAACATCTTTATGGGGGCCAAGATGGGGTAGAGGCAGGTCAGTCAATCCAGGACTCGAAGGTCCCAGGCTCAATACCCAGTCACTACACACCTCGTGGTGTCCCTGAGCAGCACACCCCATCCCCAAATGCCTCCCAGGCACCCCCAACAGCCGCCCACCGCATCACCCAGTGGCGGATGGGCCAAACGCAGAGACAATCTCACCATTGTATGTGAACATACAGCGATGACAACATAACACATTATTATTATTCAGTCATATTCAGTCCAGACAAAAATAATCAAAACTGTCACATGACATTTTCAGGAATCTTTAGACATTTTAATCTTATTTTTACCTGGGTAGAAATAATTTTACTAACAGGGATGCTATTCAAAATGTCTTTGACTACATTTTGACTTGTAAGAATCTCATTTTGACCAAGCCGAATCTTAACATAGTGTGTGTGTTGATTAGATGTTAAAACGGCCTGCTGTATTTTCAAGCCCTACAGGGGGCGCTACAGAGAAAGTCAAACTCGATCAAACCGGAAGTGTCCGTGTTGTCACCGCGGAGCCGCATGTGTTAAATCTCCTGCTTGTGAGATATTCAGAGGCAAAAGCTGCGTTTGTTCAGAAACCAGACTGTTGGAAAGGTTCGTGGTGTAAATTAGTAAAGTGCTCACATTTTTGCAGTTGTTTGCTTTTTGAGTTAGCTAGCATGCTAATAGCCTGTTGGGTTCTCGCCGTCGCCAAATAAACCTTTCAATAAACTCCTTCGCGATGAGTTTAGAAAATAGAAATAAAAGTAATTGTTCGCTGCAACTCTGCTACAAATCCTAAAAGCTACAATTATAAACTATAACCCTAATTATAGCCATGATTGCTTCATTGGTTCCACTTTTAAAACAACAATGAATGAATGATGCTTGGACGTTTACGATCCTTATTTTTGTTGATCTGAACAGGTTTTCACACAAAGTGTTAAGATTAAGATCTTTCATCTTTATTTTTAGAAACTTTTTTTTTCAGATGAGAGTTTCTGATCTGTGTTTTGTTTGAAGATGCCCAAAGAGCCCTGCTTTTAGTCCAAATATATCTCAATCGGGCTTATTTCACTTCACCAATATTACAGTTGACAGTACTTATAATGAAACAGAAAATCTGTGACTGACAGAAATATTAGAGCTTTGGAAAAGTTGCAGTAGACTTGAAAAGATTAATGAGACAAAAATGGACCGTTTCTAAGTTAATTAAAAATGTAAGTTTGAAGAAAGAAAGAAAATGCTTTGCTTTAAATTCCTATCCAATCTGTGAAACACGGTAGTGGTAGTATCATCATTAAATGCTTACTTCTCAACTGTACCGCTGAACTACAGTTTACTACTACTTTAAAATGAAACGAGGATGAAGTAGATCTTGAGAAAACGACAGCCCCACAAATCATTCAAATAAAGAAGGGTTTAAAATCAGTGGTGTGTTAGGAGTTGAACTGGACATTGCATGTGAGAAAATCCACCTCGTTCTGCATCCTGTTCATTAACACCATCACCTTAATAAAAAAAAGTTATTTTTTATAAAAGTTTTGATCTGTTGCCATGTCTAGTAATGTAAAAGAAGTGCCATTTTAAATTATTATTTCATGCGAACACGTATAATGAAAATAAAATGTACACCTCCAGAGTGGATCTGTTTAAAGTCATTCCAACATTTGAAGTAGTCTAATTTAACCATTTCTGCTGAACTTTGCATTCAGACTGAAAATTTATTTATTTTTTATTCATTACTTATGGAAATACCACTGAGTTCAGGGAATCCCACAGAGTGTGCATGAAAAGTACGTTGACATGTTTGTTGATTGTTGCACAGCTCTGGACGTTTTACGCTGTCCGTTTGAAGTTTCTCTCTCTGTGGCCAGATGACAGCGCAGGAGATCCGTCTGTGCGGTCTCCTGCTACGGGAGCATTTTGGAGACGTGGTGGAGAAGGTGGGAAAGCAGCTGCTCCGGGGTGGAGCACAGAACCTACGCAGCGTTGTTCATGAAACTGGCCTGTCGTTGGACCTGGTGAGCACAAAGAACTGAGTTATAAAGTTGGACTGAATGCAAACGGTGCACACTCACATCAGTTTATCATTTCTCTCTCTCAGACATAATGTGATGTTTCTGTGACCCTTAGATGAATTAAAAATAAAACCAGTTTAACTGAGTTTCTTCCAGAGACCTGAATAATTATCACTACCGTACATAGTTTTAGCTGGCGCAGGATTTTTCACGTTATAATAACAGGTGGAATGGGTGCCGTTGTGCTTCATAAATAAAAAAAACATTTAAAAGAAGATGGCGGCACGGTGGTGCAGTTGGTAGAGCTGCTGCCTCTCAGCAAGCAGGTCGCCCCGGTTCAAATCGCGGTCGGGGTTCTTTCTGGGTGGAGTTTGCATGTTCTCTCCGTGTATGTGTGGGTTTTCTCCGGGTACTCCGGTTTCCCCCCACAGACCAAAAACATGCATGTTAGGCTGACTGGTACGGCAACTCTAAATTGTCCCTAGGTGTGAGTGAGAGAGTGAATGGTTTTCTTGTTTATCTCTATGGGTCCCTGTGATGGACTGGAGACCTGTCTAAGGTGTCCCCCACCTTTCACACAGTGATAGCTGGATATGGGCACCAGTGACCCCCGTGACCCGAAAAGGAAGAAGCGGGTAAAGATACTGGATGGATGGACATACAAACTGTTTGTTGTCCCCCGCTGCAGAGCGAAAAAGGGAAATTGGAAATACTCTCCATTCGTCGATCTGTCCGTGCATGTTGTGAGCATGATAATTTGATAAGTAAGGTACCAACTTCCATTTCTGTTTTTGATGCCACGCCAAAATCAAATGTGTATAAACTGACCACCCCTATCATTTCAGGAAACCATGCTTTCTAGTTTTTATATTGCTGAAAATTATAGTTTCTTCAAATGACTGAAATGGCTTCCTGGCTCCTCCATCGCACCTGGTCGTTGGTAAAATTATTCCCTCCATTCTCCAGAATTTGTCAACTCTGCGCTGCCTCAAACAAGACAAACAAATAGTGTATATAATACTTATACACAGTGTACTGCCTACTGGAACGTGTTGCACCAAAAACGTTAAGGTTTACTTGCATTCCCTGATAAATACAAGTCCAAATAAACACTCCTCATTCATTCTTTAAGTCCCCCAGCGACGGGGGACATTGGTGTACCACTAGGCCTGTCACGATAACAAGTTTTGCTGGGCGATTAATTCTCAGAAATTATTTTGATAAACTATAACATTGTTTGAAATTTGACAATAATTAGTAATTATTGTCAAATTTATCAAGAAATGTTGGGTTTATTTTTGTGTGTAGTACCTTTTTTGACCACCAGATGGCAGTATAAGACTGTTTGAACCAAAGGATGGATAGTGAGGGAGCGAGCAGCCTGTCTCTTTAAGAAAAATGGGAGGGAGGCCCCTTGACGTGACATGGGCCGTCTCTCTTTGGTTCTCAAAATGGCGGATGCTCAGTGTGGTTTTAGCTCTTTAGCATAGCATTTTTTCCACACAAAGCTTTTAATAAAAAAATCAGTAAACAAGTTCTCAGCTTCTTTGTGCAAAGACAAACAACTTTTTAGCCAAAGGCACGGGTTTCAACCGTGAATTTTGGAGCTTTGACAAGACGGAGGTTTTTTCCCCGAGGTCAGCCTGTTAGCATAGCTGCTTTTAACGATCCAAAAACGCAATTTTGGACGGTTAAAATGGATTTTAAAAAGAATGGGAGGAGTCAGTGAAGAGCACTGGAGTTGAGCTTGTTGTCATCCAGTGTCTTCAGTAGAAAGAGAGAGACACGAAGAAACGATAAAGCCGATAAATGAAAATGAGGTTGATAATCTTCATTTATCATGAGATTAATTGATTTATTGTTTATCGCGACAGGCCTATGTACCACTGTATGTGTAAACAACAAGCCCAGTGCAGATATTACCCCCCACCTGTTCTTTCCCTGTCAAGGTAAAGAAGACGTTGTGCGTGCTCGTGCAGCACGGCGCTTGTTCCTTCGCCTCTGGTCGTAAAGGACCCGGCAGCCCCACAGAGTACTGGGCCCACTGTGATCGGATTCTGAGAATCCTGCGCTACCCGCGTTACATATACACCGCCAAAACCCTGTACGGTGACACCGGAGAGCTTCTCATCGAGGAGCTACTGCAGAGGGGCCACATGATGATGAGTGGCACGGTGAAGACCGTGGCAGACCGTCTCACGCAGAACATGGAAGGTCGGTGTTTGTGCTGACAACAGACCGGTGGGGGAAAAACACACATTTAGCACAACTAGCCTCTTTATAAAGTTTGGACTCTTTTGTTTTTATAGAGGGCCACAGTGTGGAATACAGCGAGGTGTCCTCCACGTTTTCCAAACTGGTGGAGACGCATTTTCTTCAGCGCTGCCCTCCGCCGGCGAGAGCCGCAGCGACAGACAGCAGCTCACAAGCTGCGACTCATGGCTCTCCTGCACCACCCTCCAGCACCACCGTGCCGACCCCCGAGAGCTTCCCCGACTGCTATAGGGTGCCTCAGGTGACGCTCATCGGACGAGGCAAACGGCAGCTCGCCCCCGAGGACGGAGAGGAGCAAAGCAGCGCGAAAAGAGCCAGGATGGATCCAGAGGTCAGTGAAAAATGTGCATCGCTTCATCCGTCCACCTGCACCCAAAGAGTTTCTGAAGGCTGATACTCTGCTGTGTCTGTCATCTCGATCACACAGACGTTTGGTGACGAGGGGATTTACTGGCAAGTAAATTTTGAGCGGTTCCATCAGCACTTCAGAGACCAGGCGATCATCAGTGCTGTGGCCAACAAACTGGATCAGGTCAGAATTTCACACAGACTGAAAACAGAGTGATAAAGTGAGAGTTCAGCAAGACATTTAATCAAGACATATTTAATATAAGTCTGAAGTTTACTTTCTAAAACTTTTTTTAATTACTGTCCGGTTCTAAAACATAATGAAGTTTTTAAAGCGGTAAAGAAACATCCTGTCATCAGACAGGGCAGCAGAATCCTCAATACACAAGACAGTTATTGTGTGAATGTTTATTAAGCATTCACACTATTGTGACCCGTTTTTCTTTCGTATGTTTTTCAGCATCTTTCTTGTTCCACAGTTTTTGTGCTATTTCAACAAATCATATCAAAACGTTCAGGACAATCCTGCTATGACTTTTGGTATTGATGTAAATTTAGATTTTTGAAATATTTAGCCTTTTTTTGCCGTTTTTGTTTCTCATAAAAAATGAGTTGAGCTCATTTTACATCCTTCATATCTTTAGATCTGTTTACAACCTTTTACTGCTCCTTTCACATTTTGTTCTGCTTCAGCTTCTTTCAGCTACTTTGTGCAAACATAAACTTTTTCAATTACTTTCAGCTAATTTCAGCTGTTTTTTTTCCAGCTGTTTTGTGCTCCGTTCAGCTTCTTTCTGCTAACCACAACATTTTTGTGCTTCTTCTAACTTCTTTCTACTAATTTCAGCTTGTTCTGCTCCTTTCAGCTTTTTTCTGCTATTTCAGCTACTATTTAGCTGTTTTATGCTAATTTTAGCTTTTTCAGCTAATTCCACTTTTGCTGCACTCATCCAGCCATTATCTTTACCCGCTTCTTCCATTTTGGGTCACAGGAGTCGCCGGTGCCCATGTCTAGCAATCATTGTGCGAGGGGCGGGGGACACCGTGGACAGGTCTCCAGTCCATCACAGGGACACATAGAGACAAACGAGACAAACAAACATTCACTCTCTCACTCACACCTAAGGACAATTTAGAGTTACCAATTAGTCTAACATGCATGTTTTTGGTCTGTGGGAGGAAACCGGAGTACCCGGGGAAAACCCACGCATGCACGGAGAGAATATGCAGACTCCACCCAGAAAGACCCCCGGCCCAAGATTTGAATCGGCAACCTTCTCGCTGAGAGGCAGCAGCTCTATCAGTTGCGTCACCGTACTGCCCTTTAAAACTTTTTTCAGCCTAATTCAGCAAAAATATCCTCCATTTCCTTCCTGTAATTTAAGCTTCTTTCTGCTTTTTCGGCTGTTTTTTTTTTTTTTTGTGCTAATTTCAGCTTTTTTTCCAGATAATTTCCACTTTTTTTGTGCTTATTTTTGCTACTTTCAGCCTAATTAGGTAAACGTTATTTCTGTTTTCTTGTGCTAAATTGAGCTTGTTCTACATTTTCAGCTAGTTTTTATCATATTTTAGCTAATTTCTGCTGTTTTTCAGCAAGTTCTTCTGCAAGAAGCATTCGCACTACATTTTCACAGGAAATGCAATTTCTCTAGTTCTCTTTGAGCTGCCTGCTTGTTTCCTGATGTTTCTACTTTATGTGATTCTGCTGAACCAGGGCTGTCCAATCCTGGACCTCGAGGGCCACTATCCTGCAAGTCTCTCATTTGAATCGGTGGGTGACTCTCAGGCTTCTGTAGAACACAGAGGTAATTGAACTGTTGGACCAGGTGTGCTGGAGTGGGGAAACCTCTAAAACATTCTGGATTGTGGCTCTCGAGGACCAGGACTGGACACCCTTGATCAAAGCTACCGGTAATTATTAATGCCATCATAAGTCAGTTCATCTGTAATTTTAAAACTGTTGAGCGACTCGTTCAGGTTTTTTTATTTTTGGTTTTTGTTTGGCTTGTATACTTGTTTGTTACGGTACTTCTTTAGAGAATTCAAGTTATTTGGGTTTACTATTGAATTAAAACCATTAGAAATAAGAAAATAGAAGCAGATACATCACCCATCAGTTTTTTTCCAACAGAATTTGTTGGCTTCATTGCTGAAATGCCGGCGTTCTTTTATTTTTTATGCTAAAATCAGTAACTAATGTTGCTTCTGAAAAGAACTGATAATTGTAACGTTTCAGACGAGCAGTGAGATCGTGAGGACCATCCTGAGGATGAGCGAGGTGACAACTTCCTCCTCAGCCACCTGCACAAAGCCGCTCTCAGCCAATGAGATCTTCAGGTCCCTTCCTGCCGGCTACAACATCTCCAGACCGATCTTGGACCAGTACCTGACTCTGCTTGTGGACGACCCGGTCCGTTGTTCTCGTACGTTTCACTGTGAGCTTCTCCTCTCATCTGCACCGATTTCATCTCCTGCTTCTTGTTTCTCAGATGGAGTTTGTGGGGAAGGCTGGTGAAAGCGGAGGTGGGATGTACGTCGTCAGTATCCTTCCCCGCCGTTAAGAGTTGCAGCCGAAACGAGGGATTATTATCGTTTTATTTGTGACAAAGATCGGCTGCTTTCCTGAACTCGCCTCTCAGATCTTCACAGAGCGCTGGCCAACCTGGCACGAGCCACGCTCGAGTCCATCGTTCAGGAGAGGTGAGCCAGTTGTTTTAAACTGCGCATGTGCACGGGCGCCTTGTCTGGTTTAAAATCACTTTTCACCCGTCGACAGGTTCGGCTCGCGATCGGCTCGGATCTTCCGCCTGTTGCTGCGGAAACGACACCTGGAGCAGAAGCAAGTGGAGGATTTCGCCATGATTCCAGCCAAGGAAGCTAAAGACATGCTGTACACGCTGCTCTCACAGAACCTGGTCCAGCTGCAGGTGGGTGCACCATAAACAACGTTTTAGACTTTCTGCACGAACTACGTGCATCCTCGTCACAAATGCACGTGGAATCAAAGAACCAGAGTTTCCTGAAGGAATGCATATCCCCCGCCACCTTTCGTGGCAGTTTTAAACTAAAATAATTATATGCTGTGAGAAGATGCAGTGGACGCTGTTTTGGTCAAATGTTGTAAATGATGTTCTAAGACAGGGCCGTTCAACTACATTTTTCAGGGGGACACAGTTACTGAAAACCAAGAGCTCAGGGGCCAGACATGCAGCAGTTATTGTCATTAAAAGAGTTTATGGTTTAAAATCTCGTTTTATTTAAATATGAACCCATTGGTGGGCTGAACTGAACTCACTAGTGGGCCTGATTTGGGCCCCGGGCCGCCAGTTGAATCTTCTAAGATATTGTGAGACTGTGTGAAAAAGTATGTGATGGAGATGACTCTCAGCTACTACCACATCAATATCAGCTCCATATCTTTAAGATCAGCTGAGTTTTAGCGTCGGCTAAAGTTGACTAGCTGTGATTAGCATCATGAACTGGGTTGACTCTAAATATAATTCCTCACATTCAGCCATCACTTTCTGAGCGTTTCACTAAATCCTGCCATTTATTTATGAGATATTTTACTAACAGGCCGACAGGCTTGATGCCAGCAATCAGAGTACGGCTCAAGGTTAAAGCTCAGCTGCTCCTACCACCATATTTTAGCTCAATCTCTCTAAAACTGTCTGTTTTAGACATTTTTGTGTTTGACAAAGTCACTTGGCTGTGGCGGCCATCTTGAACGATGCTGACGTTAAAATTGAATTAGCTCTAGATCTACATGCAGTCATTTCTTTATGTTTTAGCATTTGCTGTAAACAGGAAGGGATTAGCTCAGAAAACCTCTCTTCGTTTTTCGTTCTGAATAGTTTTATGAGCAGATCTTGTTGATCCTGTGATCTTGAAGCAGTTTTAAAACAAGCCACTGATCGACTCATTTCTCCTTCAGGAAATCCCCAAAACCCCAGACTTTGCTCCGTCCCGCACCTTTTACCTTTACACCGTCAACCAGCTCCCAACAGCCCGGATGCTGCTGCAGAACTGTTACAAGGTGAGCCGCTAAAAATACTTCCACCTTCAGAGATTGGCAGATTTTTTTTTGCCTTTTTGCAACATTTTGTATCCGGACATTTCTCTCCTCTGCAGACGGTGGCCAACCTCATCGAGCGACGCCTGTTTGAGTCCAAAGAAAGCAAGTAAGAAATTTGTGACCGTTTTATTCGATCATTTGAAGCTGTTGGTTTCCGTTCTTCTCGTTTCTCAGCTGGTCGGTTCTGATGAATTTCCAGGCGCCTTCTTGAAAAGTCCCAGCGAATCGAAGCCATCCTGGCGTCTCTGCAGGCGAGCGGGGCAGAACCCGAACAGCTGACCGAGGTGGAGGAGATGATCACGGCCGCTGAGAAGCAACAGCTGGAAGTCTTGAGGCTTCATGTGAACAAGTAGGAGGAAGAATCAAAAGTCTTCTGACACGTAGGAAACCTCGGCAGCCGATTGATGCTCGTTTTGCTTCTCCAGGTTGGATTCAGCAGAGAACCAAGTAGATGAAACCATCTTTCGTCTGGAGTCCTACATCAGCTCCACTGCAGCTCCGAGCTGAGTCAGACTTTGGAGCATTTCAAGTCGCTCAAAACTTTCTTCCAAATAAAGTTTATTTTATTTTACTTTGAGCGTGATTTCGGACTATTTCAGACTTCAGAGCAGGAGCGGACTCCGATCTGAATAGGTAGGTTTGGACATTGAATAAACGGAGTGAAAACGTTTATTTTCAACTGTTTTAATTCAGTTTAAAGAACAAAAACTCTGGCGAGACCGTCTAAAATATAAAACCATGGAAAAAGTCTGCAAGTTAAATAAAAGAACGTTAGTTTAATACACTTTGGTTTTCCTTAAAAAAACACAACCCCCCCAAAAAATATTTTACATAATTTCCCTCGATTCTGGAAATAGTGTGTAGTGCATTTCTGTTGGACCCTGATGATGCTCTCTTTGGTCCTGGAGATCCTTGAGCTCCTTCACAGGACCGTCTTTCTGCCTGTTCGGAGGCAGAACCCCCGCCTCGTCCTGCCGTCGTCACCGTAACGAACCGCTCCGTTAAACTTCGGCTCAGTCCTCGTGGTTTTCATCCTCTCTGTGTTTACGTGTGAAGAATCCAAGCTGAGGAGGAGACAACGAAGATTAATGTCCTGTCCTGAACACGGCAGTGTTTTGTAGAGGTCAGAATTTCAGACGGATACCTTCCAGAGGATGAAAATAATGAGAGCGAGCAGCAGCAGACCGCCTATGATGCTGCCAATTAAAATCCAGAGCGAGATGGGAATGGCTCGGCCCTTCAGCACCTCCAGTACGGTCTAGAGTGAAGAAACAAGCTGGGGAAGATTAGAGGAAATGAACACGAATCCTTCTGCGCCACTCGGCGGTCTTACCTCCCCTTGGAGTATTCCTGCACCCAGAGTGATGAGGCTAGTCTCCCGAGCAGTGAGGTCAAAGGCGCTCACTATCCTCACCGACTTGTATTTGGCCTGCAAATACACAAGGACATGAGTTATGATCAGAGTTCACAACATTTAAAGATAATCTGATGATCGACGTGCTCACTTTTCTGAAAAAATCATCATGAACTCTGCGGGTGACTCGGATGATGGCCTCATGCCCGAGTTGTTGTACTTCACACACAACCTCCGTGCACCATGACCTGCTGCAGTTCTAGACACGCGTCGTATTCGTGTTAGCCGCTAACACCCGGGAGCGTATAGTTAAGGGGGGGGGGGGGACTCACCAGTATTTCGTTGTGCAGCATGTCTTCAGGATGGAGTGGGCGGACGTCTCTCTGTCGGGCCTTCAGCTGGGCCACGTCGCTCGTCACGCTGCAGTTTACTCCTGTGGCCTGTAGGGGAAGAGCAACACGTCGCTCATCATCTGCGAGGAGCGGAGAAGCGAACAGACACGATAAACTCACGTTGAACGAGTTAACATCGGTGACGGTCATGAAGACGGCGTCTCCTGCTGCCACGGATGGCAGGAACATGTGCAGCTCCAGGTTACTCAGCGTGTAACAGCCCAGGTTCTGCAGCTACAAACAGATTTAGACGTACAGTTTTTATCTCGGCTTGTGGAGCGATGACAAACGAGACGAAATGTTTAAACCACCTCGATTATTTGGTATTTAGGTTCCAGTTATCCAGACGTTCTTGTGGTCTTGATCAGTAGTTCTTCAGGTGTTCTAAAGGTCTTTCAAAGTCTTTTTATTAGGGATGCACGATATTATCGGCATGGTATCAGTATCGGCCGGTATTAGCGATACTGTTAAATATCGGACATCGACCATTCCATCAAAAAAACTCACCGATATAAAAGGCTTCTGTTTTAAGTTGATTTTTAATTTTAGAAACAGTCAACTACCAATATATCTATTAATGCACTACTACTTGTGCACTTTTCACTTTTGCTTGTGAACAAGCTGAGTTTAGATTTGTGAAAATTTACAAATTTGCACTGTTCAACTGTTGTCATTGTATTAGAGAGTAAATGTCATGAATAAATTTGACATTAAACCAAATCCAACTAAATCCAAGTTGAAGTGCTGCATCATTTTCAGCCCCTTTTTGGCGTCTGCATTTGGTAGCAGACCAAATAGACAAAGACAATGCAGAAAAATGTATTTTAATTCCACAGCAGAGAAAGCTATGTAGTCTCTGTAAGTAGGTCTAGGGAAAAAATTATATCGGTATTGGTATCGGTTATCGGTTATCTGCCAAATAAATTTTAACATATCAGATATCGGCCAAAAATCCAATATCGTGCATCCCTACTTTTTATTTTATTTTAGCTGCTTTCATTCATTTTCTGTTCAGTTCTTAATGACTGTGCTGTGCAGTGCGAGCTCACCAGAATGAAAAGACAAGTAAGTTAAGGACAAAAACTAAAAACATACTTTCTCCTGCAGAGGAAGAGCATCTGGGTTTGTGTGAATCAGGAAAGAAAGCTAGTAAAGACCAGATAGATGCTTCTTCCTTCTGTTGATCGGCAGTCGTACCCAAAATATTTAGGCCCTAATCCACAAAATACTCTCTGCAAACTCTTAACCTAAATTTTGCTGATTGAAATGTGTGTTGTTTTTTTTTTTTAAATCCATTTGTGACATATGTATGAAAACATGTATTCATTGTTTGTTGCTTTATCCATGGTCGGGTCATGGAAGCAACAAGTTTAGGAAGAAAACATCTATATCCTCTCTCCAAGGTGTTCCCAGACCAAAGAAAGTACCTAAATCCTCTATGAATCTGGGGCGGCCCTGAGTTTTCTGCCAGTGGAGCCTGCCTGGAAAACCTCCAGAGGGAGGCGCCCACGGGACACCTGAATCACCGGTTCTACTCCGAGCTCCCACGAATGATGGAGCTCCTCCTCACTCTCTCTAAGACTGATCCCAGTCACACTACAAAAGGAGCTGATTTTAGCTGCTTGGATCTCGTTCTCTTGATAATGATCCACACCTCACGACCTTTGGTGAAGGTTGGGAGTAGATGGACCAGTAGGTTAGAGCTATGCCTTTCAGCACAGCTTGTTCATCAGACCAGATCGACACCCTCATTACTGTGGACAAGGTCATGATCTCCATCACTTATGAGCAAGACTCAGATTATCCTAGAACCTCTCGGCTTGAAGCAAAGGCTCACAACCCCAACCAGACGGACCAGTTATGATCATCCCTAAATCTTAGTGTAAATGCTCATGAAGCATTCACACTATTGTGATCCATTTTTCTTCTGTACGTTTTTTGGCGCGATTCTCATCCCGCAGTTTTCAAGCTATTTCAACAAACCAGTTATCAAAACGTTCAGCTCTTTCACGACAATCCTGCTATGACTTTTGGTATTGGTGCAACTTTAGCTTTTTGAAATATTTAGCCTTTTCTGCTTCTTTGTTTCTCATAGAAAATGAACTGAGCTCATTTTACACCATTCAGATTTCTGCTGACTACAACAACTATGTGCTTTTTCTAACTTATTTCTGCTAATTTTGGCTTGTTATGACTCCTGTCAGCTCATATCAGAAAGATTAAGCTTTTTCTACAGTTTCAGCTACCATTTAGCTACTTTGTGCTAATTTGAGTTTTTCAGCTAATTCCAATTTTTTTTTGCACTCATTTCAACTTCTTTCAGGCTAATTTAACAAAAAAAAGTGCTTTCTCCACTTCTTTCTTGTAATTTCAGCTTGTTTCTGCTTTTTAGCTACTTGTCAGCAGTTTTTTTTTTTTGTTGCTAATTTCAGCTTTTTTCAGATAATAATTTCCACTTTTTCAGCTCATTGTTGCTTCCTTCAGTCTAACTGGGCAAAATTGTTTTCTTTCTACTTTCTTCTGCTAATTTAAGCGTGTTCTACCCTTTCAGCTATATTTTAGCACTTTTTGAGCTGATTTTATCTGTTTTCAGATAAATTCAAAATGTTCATGGTAATTTCTGTTACTTTAAGCCTAATTAACTTCTTAAAGCTAATTTCAGCATTATTTCTGCTAAATTGAGCCTTTTTGCTATTTCAGTTTAGGTTTCTTTCTGCCTTTTCAGCTACTTTTCAGCCATCTTTTGCTAATTTCAGCTTTTTTTTAAGCTAATTTTCCCTTTTTTTTTTTTTTTGCCCACTTCTGCTTATTTAAATATAATGTAGTAAAGATGTGTTTTTTCAGCTTTCTTCTGCTAACTTCGGCTTGTTCTTCCACTTCAGCTAGATTTTCAGCATTTTTTTTTTTAATCTAATTTCAGCTATTTTTCAGCAAGTTCTTCTGCAAAAAGTATTCACCCTGCATTTTCACAAGAAAAGTGATTTCCCTAGTTTATCATTTGGATTTTAACTCAGAACCTCATTCTTGTTGATTCACAACCCACAGTCCTCACCCCCAACTTTGGGAACAAGTTTTCAACTAATAGCTTTTTGGGACTCACCTGGTTGGAGCTAAAATGTTATTTTATGTGTCAAACTGTGTTTTTTGCATTTTTTCATATTTGTTGCTAAAAATGGGAACAGTTTTTATTTTAATGGCAGGCTGTAATAAAATGCCTTAAGATCCAATTTAAACTTAGTTCTTCATAACGTGTCTGTTGTAGCAAAACACTGACTCATCCTTTGAGTTTAGGAGTTTTTTCATGCATAAATGATTTAAAGATCAGAGTTAAGTGGCAGTTCCTCTAAAAATGCTCAGGTACTGGAGAGAAAATGGGTGAAAAAGCAGCCAAACACCAAAAGAAGCCACTGAAAGAGCTTCTTTAAAAAAAAACAAAAAAAACAATACAAGGATGTTTAGTGAACATAATGAAAAGAAAGAAAACTTGAATAGCACTGCATATTATTTGGGAGGTTTTTTTTTTTTTTACAAGTTAAAGCCTTTTTAAAGAAATGTTTCTTTACCCTGAAGTGTGTGTAAAACTCCGGTCCGATTGCTTCTGACGCCGTCCGCGTGGGATGGACCTCGTAGCGGTTCAGGTTAGAGATACTTCATAGTAAAAAGAGCGACGTTTCAGTTGTTGCATCAAGAAATAGTAATTAAAAAAATAAGCTTAAAATGAATTTTATGAGCACCTGCTAACAAACAGGTCAGGCTGATACTGAACAAAAGTCTGCAGCTGAACACTGTTGTTCTCCAAAGTGTCCTCTCTCTCCATACTGTCACTGCAACACAAAATAAGGATTGAACAGATTTATTAAAGATGAAAATCTTGCAGTATTTATTTATACAATTAAAAATATTCCCATCAACCACCTGGTAGCAATGAGCTTCATTTGCACTCGACTTTGTAAAGATGTGCAGCTGAACTCAAACTCCAGCATGAAATTCACCTGCGAACGGGGGGGAAAAAATGGCTGACGTGGCACATTTTATAATTTTATCTGAAGTGTGAGTGGGCTCAGAGGAGAGGGGCCGAGCCCGTTGCCTCGGGGGGAACTCACCTTTGAACGAGAGCGAAACACCGGGTAGCTGACGTTACACGAGTGGCTGTTCGAGCCGAGAGCGGTGCACTCCATCTTAAAGTTGGGATCCTCCTAGATGGACAGAAAATCAAATGAATTTAGATTGATTCAAACATTTAAGTCATGCTGGATGTTCTTGCTGTGCTTTACTCTGATGCTAAGGCTGGAGAAGTGGAGGTTGCGTGAATAATGCAGCTTCAGGCTGGTGTTGTAGGCGTTCTCCTTTATGTTCTGGAGCTGTACTTCCACCGCCAGACGCCTACGAGGACTATGAATCACATACGGTTTCTGCCTGCAGAGGAAAACACGAAGACTCAGACCAGACAACTCAGAAAAGAGGTTTCGTTTAACCGCTCAGTTGCACACCTCGTCCCTGAGATGTCCATGTGTGCCTGCAGGACCAGGTCTGTCGTGCAGACGTCATCCTCACCGCAGTCTTTAAAGAATGGGATCTGGGTTTATGTAAGGGGACAAGATGGGCACATTTATATTTCATTAAGCTGAACCACTGATTTTATTGCTCATATTTTTACCACTTACAGATTTCTTGACAGTAGTCGGCCAACCTTCATCCAGCACTGGGCCAGTCTCTGTGTTGTTGATCTTAAACTGAAGTGAGAAGCTGATTGGACGGATGTAATCTGCTGTGTCCTGTGCAGAAAACATCAAAAAATACTTTTACTTCCCTAACGTGTGTGTTTGGATCGGAGATGGAGGATGAACATGCTCCAACACTCACGTAGACATGGAAGGGCAGTCTGTAACAGAGAGCCACTCCTGTTTGGACTCGGACAGAAAGCTGGATTTGTCTGTGGGAGCTGTCGTCAAATAAAGCCCGCGCTGATAGCTTCCTGTCATCCAACATGGCAGACACCCACAGGTCTTTAGGGGAAGCAGATGAAAGAAATGATTATTATAATCTGTAAAACATGGGTTCTAAAAATAATTATAATTTGGCCAGGGGTTTCATGCAGAGATGCATCTTTTATTAAATCTAGAAAGCATTTTTCAGTATATAAAAGTTAATTCGTATTGATTTTATTTCAACAATAAAAGCATAATGAGATGCAAGAAACAAGCAAAACAACTTTATATATATATATATATATATATATATATATATATATATATATATATAATTTACTGAAATTACATTAACAAAAGTGACAAGCCTCAAAAGGCTTTCAGAGTCATAAAACCGTCTGAACTTCACTGCAATGAGGAGAAAGACGTTTCACCATTCCATGTAGACGTTCTGAAAGTCCCGTCGACTCCTCCCACGCAGGCAGCCACAGCCAAAGTGGTTCAAGACATCAAAAATATCCTCAGACTGATGAAGTCCTCCGGATAGAGGGCGAAACGTCTTTCCACAAAAAAGTCTGTCCAGATGACCTGATGACCATTATTGGATTTTGTACCTGGATGATTGAGCATGAACTTTGATGTTTTGAACCACTTTGGCTGTGGCTGCCTGTCTGGGAGGAGGTGACGGGGGACAGGACAGCCCCCAGAAACCATTTTATCACCAGCAAACCGGTTGGTCCGCTAAAGGAGTGTACTGCTTAGTGGAAAAAACAGTTTACTTGGGACTCCTCAGACTGGTGAAGCCCTCCGGATAGAGGGCGAAACGTCTTTCCACAAAAAAAAGAGTCTGTCCAGATGACCCGATGACCATTATTGGATTTTGTACCTGGATGATTGAGCATGAACTTTGATGACTATTCTGAAGAACTGCTAACATAACACTCATGACTATTATTTTTCTCGGACATTTCTAACGTTATAATTCTGTATTTTGTGTCATGTCAGTGTTTTTTAGTGCAAGAATAGATTTCAAATATCCACACGGCTCGTTCGGTTGTTTTTCTTGAGGCACAAGAAGATGCTCACTAAGCATGAGGCCTCTTACCGAAGGTGCTGCTGTGTGTTTCGGGGGAGCGGGACACGGCTTTGAAGCAGGCGGTGGCGTTCAGGCAAGCCGATTCCCTGCCCCCCCTCTGACACGTCTTCTGGATGACGTTGATGGAGTGCGGCTGGAAGGACAAACTCACATTGATCTGGACGATGCTTCGAGAGCTGAGAGAGATGGATGATGGGAAAATATTGTTTTCCTCTGTGATACAGCACTAGTAGATGATGTCTCAGTGTTCGCAACGATTAGATTTAACCTGTTCCTTCTTACCTGAGCAGCACAGCCCTTCCCTGAGCTCCCACCGCCAAATCTATCAGCCCATCTCCATCTAAGTCCAAACGTGTGCTCACGCTGCGACCAAAATACTGAAGGGAGGGGGAGAGCGATGACCCCGCTATACGCTGTGAGAGAAGCAGACATCAATATGGCTGACCTCTAAGATGCCCCAGTCAGTTTGAAGGTGCACATCAATGAGGAATACCTGTTTCGACTTGTGGATGATGGAAGTCTTGTGTCCATGGTAGACATAGATGGCCCCCTTGTGTTCATCCTCCAGCGGAGCTCCCACCACCAGATCATTGAAGCCATCATGGTTCAGGTCAGGAGCTGCTGCCAGCACATAACCGAACCTGGCGTTCTGGGATGTTTGCTCGGACTGAAGTGTGCCATTTGGTATGAACACCCCCTCCTGGGACACAGAAAGAGAAGGAAGGTGGAACGTGACGGGACAGATTCTACAGGGGTCTGCAATATTTACCATCAAAAGAGCCATTTCTGCCCTTTTACTAAGTAAAATGTGTTTGGAGCCACAAAACGTACTTCAAGGAATCTCTTGACTAGTTGGAACAATAGACCTCATTTGATAAACAATTCAGTTATTAAAACAAGATGGAAAAATACTCAAGTTCAAGTAGGTTTATTGTCATTTCACCACATGTGGTACATGAGGTGGTACTCAGGGTCCCAGTCACATTCGACAATAGCAAAAATACAAAGTGTAAAAAGAAACAGTTAATAAGGATCTAAGATATACACTAAACGAATGCCAAACCATACGCTAAAAGATCTAAGATACTGTATACGCTAAACACCAGTAATGCAACACAATATGACGTAACAACAGCAGCACGAAATACTGTAGGTTTTGTAGTTTTTATAATTTTTTAAAAATTATTGGTACAGATGGAACCATTTTATTAACATTGCAATGCATTCTGGACAAATGATGTAGACAGGTTGTTCCGGTGCAAGCTCCATTCAGCTTAAATGTTCATTTTGAGATATATCTTACATTCACCCTTTTAATTCGAACCAGAGCGAGTTGACAGAGAGGATACAGAAATGAACTCAGCTTTCGTGTTAGCTTCAGGGCATCTCTGTTACATTAGCTCTGGATACAAACACTGCCTGGCCAAAAAAAAGTTACCACCAAAAAAAAGGTCACACACTAATATTTTGTTGGACTGTCTTTAGCTTTGATGACGTCATGCATTCACTGTGGCATTGTTTCGATAAGCTTCTGCAATGTCACAAGATATATTTCTATCCAGTGTTGCATTAATTTTTCACAAAGATCTAGCATTGATGACTAGGCCCTAGGCACTTCACCTGTCTCTCTTCTTACCCTGATACACCCATCCCTCTGGAACAGGGTAGATCTGGACTCATCAGACCAAATGACCTTCTTCCATTGCTATACATATATATACATATATATATATAT